TGAGCTACTCCTCTTGAGGCACACTCTTGCCCTGAAGCCCTCAACATAACAATCCTTCTATGTTGCACTCCTCATCTGTGGCCAGGAGAGGCAGCTCAAATCAGCTTTCTCCATTGGCTGGCTGGACCTAGCCTCTGAGAGAAGGTGAGGGGCTCCATTATTCATCTGAGCTCAGAGAAAAGCCTCTGCAAGAACAAGTCAGTTTAGGTAATTTGAGCAAGAATGCAAGTCGGCTACTTCTGTTTGGAGGTTTTGTGGGTAAGATCCACTGGAAGAAGACCCCAAAGTTGACTTAGAACTCACTAACAGGACATGTATTTCCTTCTGCTCTGGGAATTACTCTGGACCTCCGTAATATGCTGGAGGGTATCAGCAGGGAGAGAGATATCTAGGTTTCTCTCCTGCACCCCCGTTACCTCCATGACCTGATGGTGAATAGAAATTATTCAGAAATATTAAACCAGACATCTGTGATGCTGAATCCTAATATTGTTAGGAAACCTCCTGACCCTCTGTTGAACGAAACCTGAAAACTCTCATAAAAAACTGAAATTTTTAAGGACATATGAAGAGTGGAAATGTTTTGTTCCTTTCCCTTAAATGTCTATTTGCAGAACGGCACGGACTACCTGCAGCCTTCAGTGGTATACTAAATATAGTGGGAAGTCTTCTTGTCAGCAGTACTGCTGCGAGCATGATAGTTTGCTGATATTCTGGTTCCTCTCTGCCGTGGCTAATCCCATCCTCAACCTACATTCACAGGCTGAAACAGGAGCTTGATAATTTAAGCTGCAGGTGTAACATTCAGGCTTATCAAAAGTGTACAGAACGACACTACAGACTTTGCTGACATTAAGAAGAAGCTGAATGCAGGTCAAACACAAACTGACTGCCCAAGTCATGAGTACATCTGCTGAAGCTGACAGCATTTACACATGGTTAGAATGAAAGCATCTGCATCTTTGGATAAATATTTACTGTATGTCTGGGGAAACTTTAAGGACTCAGTCAGAAAGAGAAGCATTTTGAAAGGGTAAATGTTGCGTTAGTGGCAGCTACTGGAGACACTACATGGCAGACGAACCGAAGGATGCACAGATGAAGAAGCAATCCAGGTACCGATTGTCTTGCTTAAGTTCCAGACCAGTGGCGGCATTTCCTTCCTCGTAATAAAACTTCCTGCTCTGGCGCACCCCGTTGGAGGGAGACCCTGACAACATCAAGACATTTCAGTACCATATGCAAACATCCTGAATGAGCGGAGCGCTCTCTAATCCTCCAGCTCAAATCCACAGTGACCAGATGTTGCAGCTTACAGAAGCAGACCCAGCAGACATTAATGACCTCCCTAATGAAGGGACGGAGGAGCACTTCCTCCAGCATCTGGGGGGTCACTCCTGTTTAGTTGTGATTGACTAGGATCAAACCGCAGTCTTCCAACGCAACATGAAAGAAATGCTGATTAGAGGTGAGAAATATGGAGTGCAGGAGAAAGAAAAAGGAAAGAATAAACTAAAACGCCCTGTTAACATTGATGCAAATAGTTTTAAAAAAGGCAGATGCAGATTGAGTTTGAACCCTGTCCACACTAATTAAAATTTTGGTGACTAAAACTGTGATTTTTAGACATAAAGTGGAAATTCAAAAATTGTATTTGTGGTGAATCCATCTGGAATTAAAGATTAGGTCATAATAGCTAACTTCATACCTGTCAGCAAATTTTAAATAAAATCTTTAGCCTGGCGCTGCTTTACGAATACTCAGGATCTGCTTGCTTTCAGTTCTGATATTGTTAATATCAATATTATTGCCTCCTTCTGGTGCAGCGTCGGTAGCGCAGTCAGTAATATTGGATCAGTATGAAATTCTCCCATCATCAGTACTGCTATGTTTTCTGCTACTATTTTAGCAAAAAACATAAAAAGATGCTTAAAATAATCTAATTGCTTCAAAAGATAACATTAAATCAATTATTCATACTGCTGCTGAAATTAATGTATTGTACTGAGTAGTTATTATGAAAGCTATAATAATCTATAATATTTGGACATTTTGAAGCTCAGAGAAAACACAAGTAAGTTTGCTGCTGATGTAAACGTGGCAGCATCATGGCAAATGCAAAGGAGAAGCTTTAAAGCTGCAGTAGTTCGTAATGCAACTACTGATACAGAAAAAGACAGAACATGAAGAAAATGACCATAAAGTTGCCAGCAAATGTGCAAACAGCCAAATTTGGCAATATTCTTGTAACAAGAAAAAAGTGAAAAGGAGAAACAAGTGGGGAGGGGGCAGCACTACACTAATACAATAGATGTACAGCTAGAGAAAAGTTATTCCAGCGCTTCTCTGGTGTCTCATTAAAAGGATTTCAGACCACAGGAACAGTATGGGAACCTTTAGTTTGTAAAACCTTGGTACAGGTTTCATTTGTTTACTTTTTAAAATTTTTTACTTTACTTCTTGTTTACTTTTTTAATTTTTTTTCCCAAATAAAGAGAGGAAAATATTAAAGAAAATTAACCTGATTAATGTAGATTGAGTCTGAGCACAAAAATGTACTCTTGATATTTTCTTTTAAAATGCTTGTTTACAGCAGAACGATAGACGTACACAGCAGACCAACCCAATCCACTCTGGAGTAAAACTCAAAAGAAAACCTTAAACCGAAACAGTTCTAATCATTAATATTCATATGTGATAAACTGATTAGAGAATGCATTTTCAATATTTCGATGAGAGATTCTTTAAATGAAACCTGCAGCTTTTCTGGTTATCAGGAACTCAGCATGAATGGAGATCCTGAAAGGGCGTACAAGCTGCTCACACACCCACATACTGTATACTTCCACATAAATGCAAAGAGAGGAGAGCTAAATATTTAAGACTCCCTCTGCATCATGTCTGTGTGATTACAGTCCACACACGACCCGTTGTTTTGACGGTAGACGCCAAATGCAAATAAACTCTCCCGAAGTCTGATGAGTGACATAATGTCACACACTATGACTCAGTCATGAGACTAATAAGGGAATCCAGGGAATTATGCCCGAAGGGAAATACTGAGCCTTTTCTTAGACCTGTTGTCAGGAGAGGGCAGGCAGTGGAACAGGTCACTGAATTCAAGGGAGCAATCGTAGATGACAAGCTGACCTTCCAGCCCAATATGGACCGTGTGCATAAAGAGGCAAGATAGCGTCTATTTCTCTTATGAAAGATAAGGAGCTTCAACACAAGTAAACACAGCTGGTCTACTGGGGATTCATTGAAAGTGTTCCCCCCTTTAGTATTGTTTTTGGTTTGGGAATCTTTTGGCTAAACATAGAAATAAGCTCAACCAGGTAGTCAAGCGGGCGGGTAAGATAATCATCACCAGCAAATGTGTCCTCTCCTTGATTTACATGAACATGCTTTAAAGAAAGAAGCGGCTCAGATTCAGGATATCTTCTGCAGTCCTCATTTAAGCTGCTGCCATCTTGTAGAAGATGGATGGTCCCATTAACATAAACAAAAACCCATTTATCCCTTCAGCTGTGTTGGTTCTGAACAAGCCATGCCTTAAATAGTAACATAATAACTAGAACATTCTTTTATTTTTTTTTAACAATGTAGTGATTTAAATACTGTTTTATATGCTTTTATTATTTCAAGCTTATGTAGTTGGAGTTTTGTTTATACTGGTTAATTCTGTGTTTTTTATTTTTTATTTTTATTTGTTTATCATCTATTAAAAATTTCTGCCATATGTCCAAGACATATCTCCATATCAAATGTGATGGACGATAAAGTTATCATATCTGAGCTCAGACAATCATTTCTGCAGTTACTGCAACCCGCTGTGAGTGAAAAACATCAGCAGTGGATGTGAGTCATTGTGCACTTTGGGTGTTAAATGTTTAATTCCGATGAAGAATGAGTAATGCAGATTAGGGCTGGATTCCCACACACCATTTGCCAATATATGGGATTTTACTTAAGCCTTTATTCAGGTCAAGATAAGTATAGATAAAATAGAGCATGGGAAAATATCTTCCAGACTTCAGTCGCTCTCCTTGTGTGTAAATCAGGGCTCTTCAGGTCTGCTCCTCAGGAGCCACTATCCTCTAAATTCAGGATTCATCCAACACAACTGGACTCACTCATTAGATGTGTGTGTTTTGGCTGCATTCATTTCTACGTATAAAACTTTGCATCCATCTCTTCATTGATCCATTTATCAGTCCACATGCACTCATCCACACAGAATAGTAATTAATTTATTCATCTAAACTCATACATGCATCCGTCCACCATTCTGTCCCTAATTATTTATTTTCCTTGACTTTCTTACAGTCTGTCTGGTTTGCAGGTTGCATGTTTTAAAACTTGAGTTTAAAGCAACTGAGAATTCAGAAAACTTGACGAAAAATTTGAAATAAAAAATGTGTAGGGACCCAGGATAAGAGAGCAAAAGCAGACATCAGTAGTAAGAAGAAGCATTTTAACATGTCAGCTTCTTATTGACAAGCACAAATCCATCAGGATTTTTAACATTCTCTAATTAAAACGCTCACCCAGAAGAATCACTTCTTCTCGGTTTGATCAACCTGGGCTTAACGTGTCTAATTGCGAAGCACACCGAGGTGTGATGCGTTGTGCAGCAAATTGCTCTGAGAAATTACAACAGCATGAGGCGTGCAATCACAATACGTTTAATAAAAGGATGATACTTTGACAGGAGGTGCCATGCTCCCCGGGTGAAAAGGTATAATGATACAAAGGCAGTATGATGATGAGTCTGATGGGATCTGATCAGAGTCTGAGAGTCAAAGAGAGAGAGACAACAAAGGGACCTGTACGGATCAAAACACGGGAGAGGAAACAGTAGAAGGGAGGGAGCATGATGTGGAGGAGCGAGGGGGTTTTACTGAACATGATCTAGAGGAGCTGAATGACTGGATATGGGGGGGATGTTATTAGGATGGTGAGAAACAGACAGAGAAAAATGAGGAAGGGGTTCTTACCTTGACCCTGAGCCTTACTGGGGTCACAGGAAACAAAGACAAGTAAAACCAGCGGGGCCAGACAGCACCACCTGACCTCTCCCATCAACAACATCCTCAACATTAGCAGTCTAGACCTGCATGGAGAGGGAGAAGTTTGAGTTAGTTAGGGAACCAGGTAGAGATCGGATGAATTTAAAGGAATCTGTATAAAGAAGCAAACAGAAGCAGCCTGAGTGCCACCAAGGCGTTTCAGACTCTGGGGGTCAAGAGCAGCTCAGTCCAATCCACTGATCTGGAATCAGTTATTCATGCCTTAAACTCCTGCTTTACAGAGCAGAAGTCTGTAGTCTAGACTGACCACAGAGCAGTGGTCGACCCTCCCGCCTACACTGAGAAGACTGGGGCAGAAACAGTAGAGGACTTTGTGTGAAAGAAGAGAAAAGCTGAGAAATTAACAAAAGGCCCAACAGAAGGAAGGGACAAAGTGACAGAGAGGAGGACCGTAGTTTGAATGACAGTTCCAAGGGATCATTTGATGAGCCCTTTTGTCTGACGAAAAGAGCAAACACAACAGAACCTCTCCTCTTTTCCTCTATCTCCCCATTTCACCTTTCACTTTTTGTTCTCTGCATCCACTCAGTCACCTGCCTCCCCCACCTCCCCCAGTCTGTCTCTCATTATTACAGAAGAGATGGAAACATTAAAGACGCCTTATCATCTGACTCAAGGGATCAACACAACCTGGCTGACAGTCACATGAATAAAAGAGCACATGCACCAATAATTATTTGGATCTGAACAAAGTAAATATAACCCTGAGCCAGTGGCACTTAATGCTATGAACGATATGGCTATCTGTCCAGGGCGTCTTCTGTGATGGGGCTGCACAACAGCAAAAAGAAATAGCTTATTTGCATCTCCAATAGATGGAGATTTGGTGTCTATCTTGTCCAGCTCAGTGTATGAATAACTTAGTTGGTTACTTGACTTGACTCCATTTGAATTTTTTTTATGAATCTGGAACCTTTGATCATCTCAAATTTAACACAAACAAAAACCAAAAACAAAAGCTATGTTAGCCTAAACAAAGATCTTATAGTCTGCAGACATAAAGTTGGAGTTTGATTTGAAGATTATAACTCAGAGATTAAGCAAAAGGCTATTTCTACTCCAAATATATTTGTATCTATAAACCGCATTTTAAAAGAAAAACCTTTAAAGTGCTGCACAGTATTGAGCCAATACATAAGTTAATATAACAACAACAACAACAACAAAAAATAAAATAAAAGCAGAAGCAAGACTGGAATGACTAAAATGAATGCAGGTAAGCTCTGGGAAGCGCTCTGCTGTTTTAACTGGTAAAAACTGAGGGTTGAAATGAAGGAGCACCTGTTTTTAAAAAATATGCAGGAAGAACCTGAAGGTTTCATTGCACCAACTACTTTGTTTACAAATTAAAATGAAACAGGCTCAAGCTGATTGAAGACAGCCAAGCAGGCAGCATAGACAGATGGATCAATGACCTGGTGGACTGAACCTTATCAACAAAGAAGTGAAGGAAATTGTTACAAATGAGAGTCTGAGAATTGATGGTTGTGAACAGGACTTGTGGATTATGATCATTAGAGACTATAATTTGAAGAAAATATTTGCTTTTCTCCCTTTGAAAAGTGCTCCGTTAACATTCGCAAAACTTTTTCCATGTTTCTGGATCATGACCATGTTCAACAGCAATATATCTAGATTGCTCAGACTTGAAATAAATAATTCACTGTACAGATAATCCTCAAAGCACAAGGTAGGATGTGCGAAAGCTTTGTGGGGTTTTTTTTTCAAATAAAAACAGAAAATGAGCATTTTTTTTCTCTCTGCAGCACTTGCATATGCTGAAAGTTTTAAAACAAAATAAGGAGATTATTTGTTTACTCAAAAATAATGTTAATGCCGTTCCAGTTGTTCATCACTCTAGATCAAGCATTCAATCACAAATATCTCTTATAAGTCGTTACATATCAAAACAATCCATTCAGGAAGGAAAACCTAACAGTGTTAAAAGAGCAGAAAATTGACAGCAGCTTTCATTGTTTTCAAAATGAAAACAATCAGACTTTATGAAGGGGGACTTAAAAGGAACTGAGCAAAAGTAGGCCTTTCTACGCACCACACAGAAGAGAGCAAACAATAAAATACAAAGATTTGTTTTTGTTTGTTCTTTTTCAGACCCATTTTCTCTTCATGCAATTCTTAATGAAAGGCAAAACTGTTTCTCTCTGCCTTGTGTCATGTTCCTGGTTAACAATGATAGAGTTGCCACCCTGTAATTTGGCGAATAGAAATACCAGATTTAAAAGGTAACCGTGATTGTTAGCTAATCAATTTATTAGAGGTAAATGCTGTTGTCTAACACTGCATGCAGGACACAGTTTGCAATCGTTCTCTGAAATTGTTAGGAGGCATAAAAACAAAACAATAGCAGATGTGCACATGAATAGATTGAATAGAGAGCGTGTGAAAGTCAGTGATGCAATGTTCATCTCTATAATTTGCCAAACACAGTCATAGACTTTCAGGTGTACTTTTTAATTATGTTTGCTTAAGATAAGGTTATTTATGTATTGGTGTCATATTTTTTGCCATTTCTAAATATAGCCTCCACCTTCTATCTATCTAGCTGCAGCATAAATAAACTTAGTTTTGTTTTTTGTTTTTTGAGAATGCCACCCTAAGATTAAAGGGCCCCCATGTGGTCAGTCTGTCTGAAAACTTTCTGGAGGCGCCCCTGTTGGAAATCACCAACTACGTTCTTTCTGTGCAAAAATCATTTCCCCATTTTAATAATAATAATAATAATAAAAACTCTTCTTTATCAAGTTTCAAATAAATTTTCTAAATTGCCATTTGAACTGCCATCGGCACACAGGTGCATCTCTGGTTTCCTGTCAGCCTATCGCTCACTGATTCATAACAAAGTTTCCAAGCACAATTTGAGCCAAATAATCAGTCAGCATACCAAATGCAGCGCCGTTCAAAGACTCCTGCGTATATTAAAATAAATAAAATTGCGCTCCTACCTCTGGACTCATGAATTCAAAGCGTCTTTTTTTTTTTAATCCCCAAAGGAGATCCTCTGAAAATCAAAAAATGTCTGAGAGCTGCCGCTGCTTCCTCCTGAAGCGCTCCTCTCTCTCTCCCTCTTTTTCTCCCACTCCTTTTGGGACGCGGTCAGTCTGGAGAGTGGGTGTTTCTCTCCTTGTTATTCAGACATCCCTCCCTTCGGCTGATCCTCCTCGTCCCAACCCTTTCCTTCGGCGGGGTACATGTCAGATAGAGAGACAAACATGAAGCAGTGGCGCTGCAGAGAATCCTCCTCCAGGTGTCAGACCGCTCTCAGCCCCCCGGGCTCCTCCAGTGCGCTTCCTCGGACACAGTGGGACCCGCCGCGGACGACTTAATCCGTGAGCTGCGGCTTCAAAGGACCCAGCAGGTCACTTGTGATGCTCGCTTGTTTTGTGTGTTGACTTGTAAGGGGGGAAAGTCTCAGGATGGCTCTGTGCGCTCGGAGCAGGTGCCTGGCCATGCCCTGCTGCGCTGCCAGCTTTGATTTTAAAGGAGCAATGACACTGCTTTTTAATCGGAACTGAAAACACACAGAGACGCACCCGTAGGTGTTGATCCCCCCCCTCCCCCCCGAAAGGCGATGTTAATCCTGCTACATTTACACTCACCAATTCAATTTGTGTTGAATTTACCTTTTAAATGCAGCAACACTTTGCAAACTAATCTGTCTGATTGTTATTTTTAGAGTAATTTCTTCCCATTAAGCCCATTTTGGGCACAGGATCCACACACCATGGATAATACTCACCAGCTTCATCCAGTTCATTTTAATTTGTGAAACACCAAATCTGTCTTCTTCCCAAAAGCTGTGGCTGACATTCCCATAGCCTTTATAGCTGGATATAATTGTTTGAACAGATGAAATTGGCACCTTCAGGCATCTGGAAATTGTACCCAGGGATGATCCAGACTTAAGGATATCCACAGTTCCTCCTGAAATATTTGCCTTTTCTGAGATTTTACATAAATACTGCCTTGAGGTGTTCTCTCTTAGTAAATACACAGCTTTGCCTCCATTTAAGTCAAATTCTGTGAAATTAACTAGAAGCTTACAGAGCCATCATCATCTGGGCTTCACAAATCTTTTAAAGGGGAACAAAATAATTCTGGCATATTTAAAGTTCTGAATTTAAGAACAAAAAGAAAATCATTTTGCCAAACCTAAAAACCTAAAAAGACTTACGCAAAAGTCTTAAACATTTATTTAGTCTTGTACTTCCAAGACGCCATATTTGTAACACTTAAATGGTTTTGATGAATTCAGTCAAGTGGTTTTCTGAAAGTCTTTCAGCCTTTAGTATTGGTTTAGCTTTCCATTCATTGACAAAACTACTATAAAGAAACATAAGAAAATAGATAGGAAAGTGAGAAGAACAGAGATGTGGTGAAAGGAGGGAGAAACGTGACGAAAACAACTAAAACTTCTCCCTGGTAAGAATAAAATAAAGAACATAGACATAGGTATGTATCAGTGTCATCATAGAGATTTTCTTGTATCATTAAAACGTAACTAAGAGTCCAAACCTTCAGATTTCATGCTGACACACAAAGAGATGAAAAACTCAGGAGGACCAGAAACTGTGGGAGAACTTACAGGACAAAGGAGAAACCTCAGAAGAAGCAGTGACGTGTGAATGTGCGTTACTACTGAGGAAGCTGATTGCTGGAAAGCTTTACAGGTGAGTTCATTTGTTGTGAATGAATGTCAGCTGTGAGGGGAGCAGAACTGAGTGAGTGGGGGAATCAGGATATTATACACAGGAAGGAAAACACTGGAATCTATGGAACTGAGATTAAAATGATAGAAACCAGAAAACAACCCGGCAGAGGAGCAGATACCGGCTGAAACATGACAAGCAGACACATGAATTACATGGAAAGAGTCATCTATAGACTAATATGCACGAAAAAGCCAAAAGCAATGACCATACAAAATTACAACATGGAGGATCATGATTGATAATATAACTATACAGTGTTGGGTTTAAATTCTGTCAAAATAAAGTTTTTGGTGCTTTAGTTTGCATAAGTTGCAATAAGCTGTTTTTAAAGTGTAATAGTTGTTTAAAGTGCATTTATATTTATTGGTGAAAATGGATGAAATCAGAGTGTCTGCAGCAAAATGCAGCAGTATCCTGCCATGACTCTATTTGTGGTACCAAACAGCCAGCCTCATATTTTTTAAATGATTTTAATCAACAGTGAATATTTTTTGAAAAAAAATCTACCAAAATTTACATTTGATGGTAGTTTTCATTCATTTCATTTTTTCATTCATTGATGTTTTAGTTATTTTAATGGTAAAAACAAAGTACGATTGGTCTGAGTGCATAAAACCAGACAGCACAGACTTCACCTCGTTATTTTATAAACACAGAGGAAGTTAGTGAAACCCCAAATCATCCCTTCAGACGTCCTTATATCACAGGATTGTTTGAGCATTTTTATCAGTTGGTCCAGCAGGATGTTGCCAATTCAAGAAGGAGACAAGAACGGGGATCAATATGCAGACGGACTCCGTCCAAAGCTTAAATGAGTCCCACTAACAAATCCTCTAAAGGCTGCTAATCCTATAAATTTAATTTGGATGGAACTATACAAAATAATGGGAATTGACTTCAGTGAACTGAAGAAGTGCTGCAAAAAAAAAAAAGTTTCCTCTGTCATCGTGCCAAGATTTATTGACCTTAGAGAAGCGGCAGGCGAATGCGGCGCTTTTCATTCAGGCTCTGGACAAACTCCCTCAGGTTCCTCCCTCTGAAAACAACTTAGTACATCAGAATAATGAGTCAATAACAATTTACCAAAAAGTTTTCACATCTACAAAAACTATGCATCACATGGCAGTTCTCGCTATATTTCCCAGGCTTATTTGTTGTATTTTGTTGTGCATTATTCTATATTTAGTGAAAAAACAAAACTTCAATATAATACTGTTCCTGTCAGCTGGAGCCAGTCTGTTGTGCATTCATATGACCAATAAAGCTGATTCTGTTCCAGTTGAAGTCTCTCCATCAGCTTTGTCCTGCTCAGGGTCAAAGGGCAGCTGGATCCTTTCCCACTAAAAGTGAGAGGCAGAGAGCCACCCTGGAAAGGTCACCAATCCCTCATAACGTCTCCTTTTGTTTGGCTCTGTGTTTCAAGCTAATTTGAGTTGAACTCTTATGAAAGATCTTGGGTTGTGATGTTACAAACCTGCAGTAAATTCAACCATTTTCTTTTTTTTTTTGTTATTTTTTTTTTTTTTTTTTACATTTGTGGACTAAAATTCTAAACATTTCCCTTCAGAAGAAAATTAAGAATCACAATGAATCAGTGTTTTCCTCAGTGTGTGTGTGGGAAAGACACATTCTAGCTGTGTAACTCTGCCCCTGCAGATGGCTTCGCTGCTGCAGAGCCGTCGCCCTGACTTTGCCCTGAGGGGTTACAAGTAGGAGTCATGGGAAAGAGAAATGTGCCAGTGACTGGCTGATTTAAACCGCTGAATACTTTTGTTCCAGGTGTGCCTCTTGAGCCCAAACAGACACGCATGCTTGACTTATTTAAACAAGTGTCCATCTGCTGCAAGGACTATAATCAGGTGAGGAAGAATTGTGCTCCTCCCTCCTTCCTCTTCCTCTCTTCCTGTCCTCCTGTCATCATCTTTTTATTTATCAGCTGCTCGGTAGCAGCGGACCACACACTGATGCAGCTTCTCCTCTGAGCTGATCCAGCAGAATACACAGTTTGGTCGGATTCGGCTCTGCAACCTGCTGCAAGCAAGTGGCTAAAATTGATTTAGAAAAAATGAAATCTTTATAATGTAGATATAATCCCGATTGTTGGCTTGAATTTCTACAACAGGATACTAGAAGGACTTGTAATGTTTTACTAGATCTAGGTTTTTCTTTCATTTGTTTGGAAACTTCAAACTGTTTTTTTCACATCATTTTCCACAAATATCCATAGTAGAATCCTCATTTTGCAAAAGTTTTGTTTTCTTCTCTTTTAAAACATAAAAACAAAAACAAAACAAAACAAAAAATTATTTTCCTTAAATACAGCAACACATTTCCCACAGAAGATACTTATCAAAAACTATAATCTGTCTTTTTTCAAAAGGTCATAGAATATTTTCAACTCCAGACACATTTTATTTAGCTGGGTTGAGGAATTTCTTATCACATAGAAGGGATTCTAATCATTTTAAGAATTAAAATAATTTGTAAAACACTTACCTGCATTTACAGATATAAGGTTTGGAAATCAGAAAACTTCCTGCTGAACCCCAAGAAATCATTTTAAAGAATTGCAAGATCAGTGGAATAAACAGAAACATGTAAAACAATTCATCCGCATCTCTGGATTCAGCTAAAAATGTTTAGAGTAACACCTCATACTAACTCACCTGTTACAATCTATTACCTGTGAAGTGACTGAAAGAAGGACAAGAAAAATAAATTATATATACTTTTGGCAATCTTTCAGTGAAGTTTTATTATTCCCTTGAAATTTAACCTAAACTTAAAGAAAAGGTTTCAAAGTGATGCTTATTAAGTAAGAAAGGGACACAGGAGTTGCACAATGTCTGAGTTAAAGTCTGGGTTTGGTTCCCACTGAAGCAGTAAGAAGGCAAAAACTGGCTTCACGTGTGCTAATATAAATATATTGAAAAGATTTTATAAGTTGTTCTAAACACTGTGATTTCTTTTTTTTAATGTGCTAATTAAGTAACCAATCTATAATAATGACATATTTTTTTTTCGAAAACAAAGAGAGCTAAACCACGACAGAAAGTGGTAAACGTTGTTATAACTAAACACCATGTTCACATTTACCAGGATACTGAGAATCAGATGTTACGCTTCACATCGAGTTCAACATTAGGTGGATTCACACTCGCCACTGTTAGACTTTATTCACTGATAATTGATAAAATGTTGTGTTCACCAAACTTTGAGGTGGCGAAAGAGAACGTTAAGACCATGAAGGGTAAAATGTTTCCAGAACAAATGGACACTACTCACCAAGCATTTCTTTCTCTTCAAACATAAATTCAGTCTTTTATCATTTATTTTTCCTGGATCCATTTGTTGTTGTTTTATTTCCCTCATCCTTCTTTTTCCTTCCTTCAGTAATTTTCTGCTCCCTTCGTCCTACATAAAATGCGGTACTGCAGAATAAAGGCATGACTCACAGAGTGAAAGTTGGTCCACACGTTATTTACTCCAATGAGATTGTTATGATTCACAAAGTCATTTCATGACGTCTATTTATATATTTAAAAAAAAACACTATTGCAAAGTAGCCTAGAGCCTTTAAGGCTATTTGTTTTTTAAGCTTTTATCTAAAAAAAAAAAATATTAACTAAATTAAAAAGCGAATAAATAAAGAAAATAGCAACATGGACAGTTTATTCATGCCATGTGGTGTCGGCCCGATAACTTTTTAAATGTTACCTGCATAAAAATCCAAAACTAGTTTCCTTCTTACCTTTGGTATTTGCATAACTCTGTA